CCGCCCTCAGCGCCGGCGCGCAGGAGGCGGCGGGGCCGGTGCGGGCGCTGGAGCCGCCGCGGCGGCGGGAAGATGGATGCGCCGCGCTCGTCCCTCGCCGCTCGGCATCCTCCCCTGGCCGCGGCACGGTGAGCGGCGGCGGTCGAGGAGGGTCGCCCGGTGCCCGCGGCGGCGGAACAATGACCGGGCGGCTGCGGGGGGCCGGGGCCGGGGCGGCGGCGCGGCGGGGGAGAGGCAGCGATGGAGGTGATGGAGAGGAGGGGAGGGGAGCGGGAGCCGGCGCTGGTGATGGAGAGGCGATGGCGGGAGAGGCGTGGCAGGCGCAGCCCGCAGCCGCCCGCCGGCCCCGCACCATTGTGCGCCCGCCGGTCATTGTCCGCACGGTGCGGGCGCGGCGCGCTGGGCGCGGCGGCTGCTGCAGGGAAGGGAAGCGAAGGGAAGGGATGCTCCGGGGCCGGGGGCGATCGGCGGAGCCCGGGATGCTCCGGGGCCGGTCGGGCCGGGCCTCGGCGGGGCAGCCCGAGCGGAGCGGGGCCGGCGCGGCCCTGCGGGCGCTCCCCGCGCTCGTTCGCACTCGCACCGTGGCCGCTCCGGCGCTCACACGGCCGTGCACAAGGCTCCCTGCCCAGCGGGATGCTCGGAATGGCACCTGTGCGTGTCCTGGGCTGTCAGTGCTGCCGTGTGTGTGTGTGAAGACATTCTGTTCTTCGTTGCAACCGCGGACCCCGCAGGATGCATCTCTTTGTACGTGCAGTGCCTTTTTCACAGCCACTGATGGATGAAACCTGCCTCTTGGGCTGGTGTGCAATTTATGCTGAAATAACCGGATTGCCATCCCTCAGTTTCATTATGGCTACTCAGGTCAGATCTAGATCCTGCATTTTTGCTACGTTATGGCACTGAATACTCATTTGTAGACCGTTTCTTGGTTTTGCTGGGAATGCAAATATATAAAAGGTGCTGATCATACCTTATAGGTTGGGAACATAGAAAATTACATATCTTAGAAGTTTAATTTCAACTCTTGTAAGGAAAAAAATGAACTATGTGTATTATTTAAAACATTTGCATTGTGATGCTGTCCGGTGCATTACTGTAAGGTGACACGTTGGACTCCCATTCTCAATGTCTCTGATTTGCTGGGTCAGATTCTGCAGTAGTGCAGATATCATGCCTGGTCTAGCCATCTGGGTAGCCCATCAGGAGAATGTATTGTCCCTTTTCAGACAGTAATGTGGGATTTATTGCGTCTGCTCTGACTCAGGTTTTGTTTCTATTGATCTGGCCTGCTGGTCTGCACAGGAATTTCAGACCCAGGCCTGCTGTGCTGTAAATGCTGCCTCTGCTGGCACTTGACCTGGTTCAGATGGGTGCTTCGTTGAGGTAAATACCCAGTGGTTCTAAGAGGTTCTCCAGGAATGGCCACACTTTTGGTGAAATCTGGGAGTGGTGAGATGGTCATTGTTGAAGAGGGTGCAGGACACAAGTGCTGTATCAGTACTTCTGCGTCAATCAACAGACACCATGGGTGCCTCGATACAAGGAGCACATCAGACTATTAGAGTGTGTCCAGAGCAAGGCAACCAAGATGGTGAAAGGTCTTGAGGACAAGGCTTAGGAGGAGCAGCTGAGGCCACTTGCTTTGTTCAGCTTGGAGAAGAGAAGGGTGAGGGGTGACCCCAACGCAGCTTCCTCAAGGGGGTCAGAGGGGGAGGTGCTGGTCTCCTCTTTCTGGTGACCAGCCATAGGACACAAGGAAATGGAATGAAGCTGCATCAAGGGAGGTTCAGACTGGACAGTAGGAAAAGCTGATTCACTGAGGGTGGTTGGGCACTGGAACAAACTCCCCCGGGAAGTGGTCAGGGCACTAAACCTGTCAGAGTTCAAGGAGTGTCTGGTTGATGCTCTTAGTAATGTGGTTTAGTGTTAGGTGGTCCTGTGAGGAGCAGGGAGTTGGACTCAGTGATCCTCATGGGTCCTTCCAACTTGAGATACTCTGTGATTCTAATCAAGTTATGGGACTGCAGCCACTTCCAGTGATTTCATATCTTCTGGGTTCTGTCAGATTTCTCTTTAATCTTTGTGCATGGCAATGCAATGTTTGCACTACAAGATTGCAAAAGAAATATTTTTGTTTTAAAAACCCAGTTATTTTGTTTTATATTTATGTTTACAGCTTTACTTGAATTTACAATTACATGTTTGCATTATGTGTTTCTAAATCAATAGCTTACTTAAATTCCAGGCAGGTAACATCTTCAAAGTTCCTCTATAAATCTATATCCCTTGAAGATCTGGTCTTTACCAGATTATAACAAATTTATCTTCCCATCTTCAGAGATGGATTCTCTGCTGCTTTCTCTTTATAGGTCTGTGCAAAGCATCTGTGCAGTTCTCTGTCACCAGCTCTCAATATCCAGAATCCATGAGGGTAGAAAAATGTAATTTTGGTAGTACTTCTAGGTTTTGTATCTTTAAGGTCTATTTGAATTTCTCCTTTAAAATATGAGGACTAGAAATCTTTGCTCCAGGAGGTGGGGCTCTAAATAGAAAATTCGACAGCATGCTGGGAAGAACCATGAGAAAGCTCTGTGGTGCGGCCACACAGAACGCTGTCAGGTCAGATGAGTGTAAATGCAGCTCCTTGGAAATGACAGAGGAACAGTGTGGATCACAGTCTGCAGTTTGGATTCCAAAGCATCCAATGAACTTTAAAGGAGAAATGATACATGCAAGCACTTTCAGGAACATGGGCTTTCAGTTCTTCTCACTGGAACTGATGGTGCTGTTTGCTTTGCTGGCCGTGCATTTGGATCGCTGGTGGGTTGCTGAGAAACTGTCACACGTCCTGGAAACTTTAGGGTCTGTGTTTTCCCTGGAAGATGACATTTGGACATAGCAGTTCCCTGTGCTGAGCAGTCTGCACCAGCAATTGTCAGAAGGGGAGCTGTCAGAAGTGAGCTGATGTCTGTGACCATCCCCACGGCAGCGTTGCATGAGGAAGACGAGCAGAAATGCAGCACACGTTTTAGTACAGAGCTGCACAGTGAAACCTTGTTAGTTAACAGCTTAACAAGTACCAACAAATAAGGAATACAAATGAAGACTGGATAGACTACAGTTGCTCTTCTAACTTTGGATGAAATGTACTCAGACGGATAACAAAGCAAACTGATGTACCTAAGAAAACTGTTAGGATAGAAGAGTTGGTACGATATGCCAGATCTTTTATGTTGGAAATGATAATGCAAAGTATAACAGAATCTCAGATTACTTAGTAAAAAATAATAAAACAAATTATTTGAATTAATTGAGAACAGCTGATGCTCAAATGCACGTTTTCTCCCACTTCATTAATTCCTTCCATCTCCACCCAGGAGGTAATATATTGCTTCACACCTGTACTCCGTTTCTCAAGATATTTGTTGACATTTGTTGAAATTTTTTATTGTAATATTCTTTTAAGTGTTTAGGGGAAAGCCTTGTTAAACCTTACATTGCATGGACTGTAAACAAAAGGTCTAAATAACATGGAAACTAAAACTGAAAAAAGAAGAAACAGCTGTTGACAATTGCTTTGAGGTCCCAGGTGGTTTAGGGCAAGCAGTAATGAGTGAGCAAATAAAGTTGGGAGAAATGGTGGAGTCAGGGTTTCTGGATTTGATTTTTTCTGTATGTGCACTGGTTTGCTAAAATTCACTCAATTGTTTTTTTAATGGGTGGAAAAATACTTTTTGTTATTAATTTCTACAGTTTAAGCCAAATTCTTAGAACTTTTAATGTTACAGGTGATAGAAATTAATTAGAACCAATACTGTACTGTTTTGTGTGCATTTGGGGTAAGCCTGGTGTACAAAAAATTTTAAAATACTTAAAATTATATTAATACATAATATACACTTAGGTTTTCATGAACATTAATGTGATTTTTGTTTTGAACTTCTGTGATTTGTAGGTAAGTCCTTGAGGGGTTTTTTCACTGTATTTATTTGTACTCAATGTTTAAGGTTCTGCAAGCTGCTCTGTTCCATCTCTGTGCGTAGGTGAGGAAGAAAATAAGATGCAGTCATTTTTGAAGAGTCTGCTTTAATTTAATACAGCCCTTAATAATATCACCTTCTCATGTCCCCTCTCTGATGGGAAATTGTGATCAGTTACAATCTTTAGCAAACAAAGAGTATGTGGGGACTGTTGCACTGGAAGAAGATTGGGTTATTTACAGCTGAGAGAATAATTGTGCTGGTTACTGTTTGGTAGCTTATAACTAAGGAAAGGCTGCACTAATTAATTTGGAAATGCTTTAAAGAACAAAGCTGTGAGATTAGAGTGTGTCCAGCGTGTGTTTCAGGGGTACAGCTGATGGGTGACACGTGTCCCTGCCTTCCCAGCACAGCCATGGGTGACACACATCCCTGCCTTCCCAGAGGTGGGATCCCTGCCCAGCAGAGCCCAGCAGGGCTCTGTGCTCACAGATCCCTCCTGCTTTGTGTTTTTGTGGGTCACAGCCTGACCTACATGTTGCCGTTCCCTTGGAATGTGCAGTGGGTGTCGGTGAGTGGGGGCCTGTGTTAGGTGAGCTCAATGAAGATGTAAGCATTGTCCTTGGAAGTTGATTTGAAATTGTATCCAGTAGCTTAATGAATATTCAAATCTCTCTGAAATTACCAGAAAATGATTTTCTGGTTTCAGCCTTCATGGAAATCTGTGTTCAAAACAGTATCCTGAATGTCTCATAAGGGAAACCTCTTGATTTTTTTTTTTTTTTTGTGCTTTGTCACGTCAACTATGAACCAGCATCTCAGCTGGATCTAGTGGGTGCTGTTTCATGCTTACACCTTTTCCAGCTGAGAATCCAACTCATCACCTGCTTACATGGGAGGAGACCTGGTCACCATCATAAAAATGGAAGCTGGTGCTTCCATTTTTAAAGCAGCACAGTTCAGCTAAAAATCACCCTGCACGTTTCAGGAGTAGTTTTTAAATAGTAAACTGTAAGGATAAATTCTACATTTAACATGAGTTTCACTTTATCCTAATTGTTTATTTGTCAAATTCTGTTCTTCCCATTATAGGCAGAACTACTTAAGTCAGCATGTGTGGTGTTACACGTTTTCATTTCTGTTTTGTTGAGAGGGCAGGGCATGACAGGCACTTGTTCCTCAGCTGAGCAGTGCCATTGGTGGGAAAAAAAAGGTTTCTATTGTTATCTGATGAAAGTCCATTCAGACCATTCTTGAAGAGTTCACAGACTCCAGGGGTGACTAAGGAACCCATCTTTCAGCATATGGTAGAGGGGTGAGATTCACAACAATTCACAAATGAGAACTGTAACTCAGGTTACAGTGTGTTCATAAGTGAATAATCTTGAGTGTTTCTAGTCAATGTTGCTTGTAATGTTTTTATTTTTAGAGGTATTTTGACTCTAAAAGATGGTTAGAAATGGCTAATGTAAAATACGTGTTTGCATTTCTGCTGAAAAGCTGATGTGAAGAGATAAACTGTTGGATTAGTTTTTTTCCTGAATTTCCCTGGTAATGGGAACATTCATATTCTTTTCCCAGTATATGGAAGGAAAAGGCAAGAGGGATACAGGACATGGGAAATTAGAGCAATGTGTACATGAGGTTCCCTAAGGCATTATTAGCAATAGGATGGGAGAAGAAAATACATTTTTTGAAGCTACACTGAATTGCAACCTGATAAGAAACTGCAAGAAGGTAGTAATCTGATTGGAAGTAAGGTGTTCAAAAAAGAAAAGAATCCATGGTAGAGATCTACATTGTTAAAAGTGAATGTGGGAGGCTGGAGTGCAGATTTTTTTCTGCTTCATTCTGAAACCAATATCTGCCATTATTGGCTGTATCAAGAGCTGAGCTAAAAATTGCAAAAACTTCCAAAGTTAACCTTATTGCTTTAAATAGAGAAATTATTTAAATACCTGACAATCTTTAGTGGTGAATGTAAAATGTCTTCCTCTGGTATCTGTAAGACAAGAGATAATCTTGGTTATGGCCTTAGAAAGAAAAGAAGAGGTTTTCAGGAGAAGGATACGGGGCATGAATATTCCCTCACTGTTTGTTGTTGTCTTGTTTATATACATTTCAATTAAATAAAAGATAGTTTTGTTGGGTTTTAAAGTCAAAATCAAATAAAGCAGGAGCTGATACTATAAGCTTTGTGAACTGCAGAGTTTCTCTTCCAGGCAGTGTGTGTTGTCTCGTGGGTGAGTGTGACCCTACTTGCATAAAATACATTTACAAAAAACATCTTTTTTGTAAGCTAAGAATGGGTCTTGAATAATGCCCACAGTACAAACCCATTGAAATGTTTTCTTGCAGTGAGCTGGGCAGGTTGGGAGAGCTCGTCCTTGTCCTGATACTCCTGTTCTCAAATAGAGTCTCCAGTCAGTGTCCATGTGCGTCTCATGCTGAAAAGTACCAGTTCTGGAAAATGGCTGTTTCCTTTTGGGATAGGGCAGGATTTTGTTTTTCACTGGTAGTGTTGATCTCAATGTGCATTGTGTTATGGCAGCTCCTGGGGAAATAATTGTATGGAAAAGAGACAGATGGTATTTTAGCCGCAGAATACTGGAATATTGGTTTAACAAATCTGCTTAGCTTTGCTGCAGATAACAATAATGCTTCTGTCCCCTTTTGACTGTTTCCATGGAGTCGCCAGCAACTTGGATAGGGTGTTTTTGGTTCATGTTTTAGAGCAAGGGCCAATGGTAATTTTAGCATGAGCAGCCTCCCAGTGCCAGATTCATCCTGTATTCTGTGTGCAGAGCCCCAAAGCCAAGGGATATTGTGAGTTTTAATATTCCTGAAAATAACTATGGTATTGATTAAAAATCTAACTACAATACAATGATTTTTGTGCAGTTAAAAGCAGAGAGTGGTTGGGATTTGTTCTAAAGAGCTGTTTGTCACCTTTTGGTGGAATAAAATGCATGTCAACTACTACCATGTGAAATGTGTAATTTTCTGACTATAAAAAGAAATGCAGAACAGAGTTGTGTAAATGGTGGAAATATTTTTCAGCAAGTCTGAGTTTTTGGGTTGATCTCAGGATGCTGAATTATGATGTTATAGTAAAATAATAAAAGTCGTGCTATTAATCACAGCTTTCATTAATTATGTATTTTGTTATGTGGTATAACATGCACAGGGTGGGATGCAATAATTAGGGCTTGAATTTTATTCTGAAAGAATGCAAAGCATAGATGAAACCTGGTAAACGAAAGCCAAAGCAAAGATGTCATTTAGGATTCATTCAAATCCCACTGGCCAAATGAGACAGGTTTTGGAGACATAGGGGATCGTGTATGGCCAGTGTTCCCCTTGTAGCTGACAGAGTTGATGCAGTGATGGGAATTGGCTTATGTGGAAATATTAGTTCCTTAAAATATTGCTAAGACCACATCAGCAAACAAGCAGGAATCCAGTCTAGGTACTGGGATGAAACTTCCAGCAGGTAAACACTGAAACTGCTCTTCTAGTTCCAAGGGAGTTTCACTATTTTGTGGGAGTAGAAAATGCCTCTTTTAAAATTGTTGCAGATTGCTGGCAGAAATTGTGAACCATGAAAAGGATTTGCTGAGGGTGAAAAAGCTTCACATGGTATTTGCATCATGCTTGCCATGTTCTGAAGTTCTGGTTCTAGAGTCAGGATTGGGATCTAGAGCCAGGCTGCTTGGATCAGCAGTCTTGATTTGGAAAACCCCCTGATGTTAGGGTTTCCTAACCTGAATCACAGCACTCATTTCTGATGGGGGGTTGGGTCAGTGGAGTTCCAAATTAGCATGTTAATCGTTACCTTGGCAGGAGCTGAAATGCTGGCTCTGGGCCCAGAAGAAAACAAGTTTAGATCAGAGTTTTTACATGTTCACACAGCTAAATCCACTTCACAGTGGAGTGAATGTCACTTGAGCAGAGCCAAGTGTCTGAGAGCAAGGTGTCAGGAGGGACATGCGTATGAGTTGTGGTTTCTACCTGCTCTTGCTCTCAGAAAGCAGAAAATTATAATGTAACTGAAATTGAAGTCTGACCCTTGGAGT